TTCTATGACTCATCCAATCACACTAGTTTTCACTAGATGTGGACGGAGCCAATGATCTGAATTGGATGGAGCACATGACGGGAAATAAATATTTAGAAACATTAAACTGAAGCCAAGAGGAACGAGTAATGTTTGATTTAAAAATGTAAGGAATAGAAAGAACAGATACTGGTGTGAAAATGTTATCAAAAGAATTGAGAAGTAGGAAGAAAAATAAGGAGTAAAGTATAGATGCCTAAAAAGTGTGCTTAGGTACAGTTACAAAGTATTTGTACTTTGTAACTTCGCGCAGAACCAGTTATATCTGATATACTAAATATCTGACGAAATTGTTTTTATAAATGTTTTTTTCTTCCAAATAAAGCATTTTAAATGTCGGGATAATCATATTTAATACATTTTTTTGCCAATTGAGGCCTTCTAAAAAAAATTCTCATGATTTAAATTTTTTTTAATGACGCACAGAAACCCTGAACTGAATCTTAAAGTCGTAGAGAAGCGGCCGTTCCAACCGTTGCATTCCCGAATTCTCCCGATTGGTGTCCGACTTTACACTAGTGAATAAAGTGAATGTGACCTTTCAATTCTGAACATAATTGAAAGGTCACCAAACCGGACTCTTCCTTTTAATTTAAAATGATTTTAGTTTAGATTCATATCCGTGATCCGCTTTTATTCTACAAAATTAAGCAGCTGAATGAATGTCCTTTGAGGCCGGTGATTCCGGCCGCTTATTTAAAGCAGCAGGTACTAAAGTGCTAAACAACAAGGATGATTGGTGAGAATAAAAACATTTTTAAGCAAAAGCAAAAGCTTTGAACGTCACTGCTCTCGCTTAAAGTTGTGGACCAGCCCTGTTTTTATTGCAAAGGTCTGAAGTCTCTTACTGCACCTTTCAGTTTGCTCCTCCAGTTGCAGACCAGGCAGACGAAGCGGTGGGAGACGAAGCCCACCCACTTTTCCGTCGCCTTCTTCTCCTCCATCAACAGCTCGTCGCTCAGCCCCGCCCCCTCCTCCTCCTCGGCCACGCCCAGCTGCACCTCCCGGCTCTTGGTCAGGGCGTGGGTGGCGTAGGTTTTGGGGATCTCGTGTTTGCGCACGATGTGGCTGACGGAGACCGACTTCTGCTTGTGGCTCCAGCCGCAGATCTTGCAGTGGAACAGGACGCCATCGTACATCAGGACGCACTTCTTCTCTTCATCTGTGGGGGTCACTCCCGCAGGAGCCCCACTCTGCTTCTCCTCCTCTTCATCACCTTCACCGCTCCTCACTCCTTCGGGGCCGCCCGTCTCTCCCTCTTTTTCTTCTTTCTCTCCATCTTCCTCCTTCCCATCATCCTCGCAGCTTTTTTTACTTTCAGGAGCATCCTCATCCTCCTCTTCCTCATGGCTCCTCCTCCTTTTCGGACTCGTAATGTTTTGGTTTTCTTCCGGGTCTTTCTTCTCTCCATTCTCTTCCTTCACCTCCACCTTAATGCTCAGCTTGTTTTTACACTCATTCTTCTCGTCCTTCTCTTCTCCGCTTCCCTTCCCTTCAGGAGCCTCCTCTTCTCCCTCCTCGCCTCCTCCTCCTCCTCCCCCCTCCCTATCCACCATGCAGTGACGGGAGATGATGTGCTTGTAGACTTTGGTGAAGTCACGGCTGGTGTGGAAGCACTCCGAGCAGTGGAAGAGCCGCGCACTGCTCTGGTACATCAGGATGTTGCCCAGGCGGCCCACCGCCACGTCGTCCAGGCAGGCGGGGTGGGACGCCGCCAGGTGAGACAGCTGCTGGGCGTGGCTCTTGGACAGGTGGCCACAGTGGGAGCAGCGGAGGTGGGCGGCTACCCCTCCGCCTGCTTCCCCTCTAGTGTGGATGAGGACGGACATCGGTGCTGGGAGACATCAGAAGGAAGTTATTCATCTGGTCTGAGCAAACAGATAAAAACATCTATTTAGTCTATTTCTATCTATGTGTTTTTGATGCTGATGGGCTGAAATTTCCGACTAATTGATTGATTGACTTAATTGATCTCACAGTGGAGAAATTTACTTGTTCCATCAGCTCAAAATAGTCAAAGAAGAAGAAGTTTGCCAAAGGAAGAAAAAGGTGCTTGAGATATATGACAGCTTTATCATTATACATCATTTATACAGAGTGTGTTTACAGTGGTATATATATATATATATA